TGTTAGGATCTTCAATGACAGGAAGAAGCACTTCCTTTTTGAGCTTCTTAATTGGGAGAGGAGGGAGAGAGGGAAGGGGAGATCGAGGGAGAGCAGCAAAACTCAAATCTTTATTTCTTAATCATTTTCTCTATTACAATCTATAGCCTCTATATATAGGCAACTAATAGCTACACCAATGGCAATAAAAACCATTTAAGAAAACTAAAGAAAGTAAATGAGAAAACTATCTAAATCTTTGACCAATATCCAACAAGCTAGCAATTATAAGGATGGAATCACTTAAAGCATATAATAGTTTGGGTGACTTAGGTCATTTAACTTGGTTTTTCTTTATATAATCTTGAATATTTTCTGAGGGCCAGCGGATGTTGGATGTCAATCTTTAGTTGGTGTGGAAAAACAGGATCCGTCGTCGGAGAGAAGGAAGAAGAAGACACAGTGGAAAAGAAGATTTGTTTTATTATCTTCTCCTATCCTAAGTACATAGATGCATATATATAGTATATTTTGTTAGAGTTCTTTACACGTGGCTGTCGCTCATAGGTTAGTTTGTAATACAGGAGCTTTCTTGTGTTTTGAGCTCTGATAGCCCCCCGCAAACGAACGGATCTGGAGAGATCGTGAGTTTGCTTCGAAGGAGCTTATAGCGAACGGTGGAGAGAGGCTTGGTGAGGAGATCAGCGAGTTGGTCCACCGTTTTGATCGGAAGAAGCCTGATCTGATTATTGACAATGTTCTCGCGAAGGAACCGATGATCGATCTCGATATGCTTCGTTCTCGCGTGAAAGATGGGGTTGTTAGCGAGTGCAATGGCGGAAGTGTTGTCACAATAGAGATCAACCGGCTGGTCATGCGGAATCTGAAAGTCGGTGAGAAGTCGCTTGAGCCAAATGATGTCAGCCGTATATAGCAGCTGCGAGTGCCCTGTATTCGGACTCAGTGGAGGAGCGAGATACGGTAGACTGCTTTTTGACAGCCCATGAAATCAGAGTATTGCCGAGAAAAGAGCAATACCCTGTGGTGGATTTGCGAGTAACTGGATCGCTAGCCCAGTCGGCATCGGAGTAGGAACGCAGATGCAAATCTGATTTGGTTATGGGCAGTCCGAAGTGAGCGGTGCCTTTGACGTAGCGAATGAGTCGCTTGAGCATGAAGAAGTGAACGAGTTGCGGATCGTGCATATGCTGGGACAGGCTGTTGACGGCGTATGCTATGTCCGGACGTGTGATGGTGAGGTATTGAAGAGCTCCGGTTAATTGCCTGTATAACGAAGGATCGGTCCAGTTGGAGTCGAGCTGTATGTCCGTTGGTAATTTGGTGGCTGAGGGATTAGCAACCGGTTTACACGTGAGAAGATTAGATTGTTGAACAATAGATTTAGCATATAATTTTTGGGATAAGAAATACGTATCTGCATCGTGCTGAATTTTAATTCCGAGAAAGTGGTTGGCATTGCCGAGGTTTTTGAGAGAGAACGCTGAGTGAAGCTTGCGGAGAATGTCGGAGAGAAAGCCTTCGTCATTGCCAGTAACTAAGATGTCGTCAACGTAGACTAATAGGAAGATGACGATGCTGCCTTTATGAAGTGTGAGCAATGATGGGTCGGATTTGCTGTGATTAAATCCGAGCTTGGTGAGATAGTTGGTGAACGTAGTATACCACTGCCTCGGAGCTTGGCGGAGACCGTAGATTGCTTTCTTTAGAAGACAAACGTGATGAGGGTGAAGAGAATCTTCGAACCCCTTGGGTTGCCGCATGTAGACGGTATCGTCAAGCAAGCTGTGGAGAAACGCATTCTCGATGTCGAGTTGATGGATTTTCCATCCATGATGAAGTGCAACGGTGAAGAGGACGCGAATGGTGGGTAGTTTGGCTACTGGACTGAATGTCTCTACGTGGTCGTAGCCGAGTTCTTGTTGATTACCGAGTGCAACCAGGCGAGCCTTGAATCGGGCTACCGAACCATCCGAGTGGAACTTTCGTCGGAATATCCATTTGCAGCCGAGAACAGGGGAGTTGGGTGGAGGTGGAACCAATGTCCATCTGCCTTGTTTCTGTAGCGCGAAGAACTCAGCCGCCATGGCTTGACGCCATTCAAAAGATTTGTTTGCCTCAGCGTAGCTTGGCGGATCAGATGAGTTAGACTCCTAATGAATGAGATTGAGTCGGCAGACAGGTCTAAGGTGACCGGTTTGAGACCGGGTGGTCATGGGATGAATAGCCGGGAGATGAGGCGAAGAAGTAGATGCTGAAGCAGATGCTGGCGTCTGGTCAGGTAGCATCATGTTCGGTTGGATGGGGATGGTTGATGTGGAGTAATTCTTGATATTGTGTGTGCTAGTATTTGTTGGTTTTGCAATGGCTGGTAGCGATAGAAGCAGGGGAATGGGTAAGAGTGAAGATTTATGCTGCGTGAGGGATTTCTGGTTCTGGAATGGAAAGGAAGTTTCGACGAACTTCACATGTCTAGAGATGATAATCGAGTTGGTGCGATTGTTCCAGCAACGGTATCCTTTATGATTATCTGCGTAACCGAGGAATGTGCAAGCTTCAGATTTTGGCTGTAATTTATTGTAAGAGTGGTTGGGCAATAGCGGGAAGCACTCGCAGCCAAAGGTGCGAAGTTGGGCGTAGTCAGGTTTGATTTGAAACATGAGTTGAATTGGAGCGGTGTGACCAGTGGTAGGTGTAGGCATGCGGTTAATTAGGTAGACGGCAGTGGTCGCTGCTTCAAGCCAGAAATTGATAGGCATGGAGGCGGTGTGCAGCATTGTCCTAGCGGTTTCAATAATATGGCGGTGCTTGCGTTCCGCAAGACCGTTTTGCTCGGGGGTATATGGACAAGAGAGCTGATGCTGAATTCCTCTTTGTTGAAGAAAGCCGTCGAACTCGTGGTTAACGAACTCTCGGCCTCCGTCAGTGCGAATGATGTGTATGTTCCTGTTAGTTTGTCTTTCAATAAAAATCACAAAGTTAATGAAAATTTTAGCAACATCAGATTTCGCTTTACACGGAAAAATCCAGCTGAAACGAGAAAAATCGTCAACTATAAGAAGGTAATATCGAAGCCCCTGATTTGAGGGAGCTGGGGAAGGACCCCAAACATCAGAGTGAAGTAGAAAGAGAGGGGTAGTAGTCTTTGTAACCGAAATCGGAAAGACTAGCTTATGACTTTTACACGAATTACAAGAACTACAATTTAAGTGCTGAGAGCTGATGCGAAGTTGCTGATTGTCGTGTGAAATTCTGTTGAGAATACTGCGATGAGGGTGACCTAATCTTTCATGCAAATTTGGAGCAGGGATGCGTATGGCCGAGAACGTTTGGTGAGCTGGTGCCGGATTCTTGATGGAGATCGGATAGAGGCCCGCC